GGGCTTCTCTTTGGGGCCAGCGGCCTTCCCACGGCCACGCAACATGCCTAAAAACGCGGTCACAGCTAACAGTGCTTCCCGATCATCTTGGGGGCTATCTTCTGTAGGCCACGATTTGAGATCGATGGGGGACTCGCCGATCGATTTCAGGAACGGGTGCACATTCGCCGTGATGAGGGGTGGTGGGTACGCGTTGCCAGCCGCAAAGAGGCGTTGAGCACGCGGCACGTGAAGCACGATATCAGGAGGGAACCCTTGTGCTGCCATCCGTTCGGTCGCCCGGGGCTTGCGGAAGAATTCCCGCTTGTTATCCGCAGTCCGATTGTAAATGTCGTGAGCGCTCACGATGAACAAATACATGTTTTTCGTTGTCAATGTCGGGAACTCGTTGATCGTAATCTGTTGCTTGAACACTCGGCAAGGCGCCCTGCCAACCTGTATCGCCAAGACGTCGTCCATTTGGACGTCCCCCTCGCAAATGAGCCTCATGATTTTGTTTTCATAAGATCGCAGGTTGCGTCGTTGTTGCTGGGTAAATTCGCTGCGAGGCGTGTGCGGAAATGGGCCCAAGATGCCCCGAAGCTCCCTTCTGCCCCAACTCGATAAACAAGGTGGAATTTCGACAGAGAGCGTCCTTCGGAATCCTCTCAAGAACACGCGGATGCGACTCTGTGGCAAGAGGTACTCATTAGCGTTGAGCGTCACGACCTGCGTCTGCGATGCTTCCGCACCCTTTTGGTGAATTTCCGTTGTGCCCCCTCCCCCCATGCATCCCCGTCCAGATTCCTGACCCCCTTCGGAATGTTTCTGGGGCCGCCCTGATCCCCAGGAATGGTACGAGGGCGCGGCTCTATCGCAGCCGATTTTTCGCGAACGGCCTCCCAAGTGAACTCGTTGCACACGAGCCGCAACGCCTCGAGAAATCTATGCATGACTGATTCCCGCCCTTGCACGTTATGGAGCACCCCGATTGCGTTTTCTAGAATCACACCGATGAGCCCGCCAGCTTTGATCAAATAAATGCACCATTCAATCACTCTGAGAAATACTTTGCCGCGATGATCGTCTAGAGGTTTTTTGGCCCCTGGGGCTGACCAGGGGGGGCACGGGGGTCCGCTCACCACGAAATCGATGGGTTTGCTCAGCGCGGGCATGGCCACTCTCGCGATGTCCCCCGCAACGCGGCCAATATGCAATTCTGCAGCGATGCTGTCGACGCCTTGGCCGAGTTCCTGCAAAGATGCACGCAAGTAATCGCAGTACCCAGGTTCCAGATCATGGCAGTTTTTCGTGTCGGCACCCACGCCCATGCTGAGCATCGATTGCCCGCGTCCGTGAATGCCCACGCATGGGCTTGCAACAGTAATGCGCCTACCCAGGGAAGGCAACGATGTGAAGTAGTCTGCCCAGGAAGGAAGTGGAGGCGTCATCCCCACATCTCTCGCGAATGCGTCCTCTGGGGCTCTGAAAGGCGCGCGGGGGGGAGGGGGTGGTGGCGGCGGGAATTCCCTGAATCCCCGCGGGGCTCTGGGCTTCTGGGCCCTGGATTCTCTGACCCCGGGAGAGGGTTTTCAAGGGAAGGGGGGGGGGGGGGGGGGCAGGGATGGGAGGAGGAAGAGGAGGAGGGAGGAGGGAGGAGGGAGGAGGAGGAAAAGGACGAGGAGGAGGAGGACGACCCAGTATAGACATGCGCATTGTCCCCGCTGCGATCCTCGCAGTCGGCAGCGCCGCGCACAACGTCTGTCCGCAGCGCGCATGCGCACGGCAGCGCCAGCGTGGCGGCCATGGCCTTGCAGGGATGGGGCGAGCCCGCTTCCCAAATGGCGCGCGAGGGCTCCAGGAAGGCCCTCAGAGGCCCCCAGGAGGCCGATCAGGAGCAAGAGGCCCCCAAGAGCCCTCTGGGCGCATACACCTGCAGGGCTCGCCCGCGGAGGAGGAGGAGGGGGAGGGGGAGGGGGAGAAGGAGGATGAGGAGAAGGAGGCGGAGGGGGAGGGGAAGGAGGGGGGAGAGGAGGAGGATGAGGAGGAGGAGACGGCAGCCCTTCCTAGACATTCCAAGACAACATTGGAAAGCCAATTCGAAGTATACACTTCGAACCCCCTTCCCTTCCTCCATCTTCCCCTACCTCCTCCCCCCTCCCTCCCACCTCCTCCCTCTCCCTTCTCCCCTCCGTTCACTTCCAGTTTCTATTGCCAGAGGGCGTGCGCTTTTGAGTGCCCCCTCCTCGCAGTTTGCGGCCTCAAGTTTTCTTGCCCCGCGTCCCGATCCCGCGGCAGAGCATGTCGACGCAGCCGCCGTTCTCGCCTAGTCGCCCCCGCTCTCGCCCCCGCTCCTGCTCGCAGCCCGAAACGTTCTCTGTGGGCGAGGGAGACGGCAAGGGCAAAGGGCAAGGGCCCTCAGGCAACGGCAAGGGCAAGGAAGACAAGGGCAAGGGCAAGGAGGATTGGAGGCAGCTCGCACTGGAGGACCCCAACCACCCCGCTTATGGCTTGGCCTCCGCCGCGTCGCCCATCATGGACACGGCCGCCCGGAGCGACGCGGACATGAAAAAGGCAGAGAGGGGGAGGAAGAGGAGGAGGAGGGGGGGAGGAGGAGGAGGAGGAGGAGGAGGACGACGACGAATCCTGGGACCGAAAGGCTGCCCAAGCCCTCGCCCGTGCTGTCAACGAGAACGCGGCCTTGTCCCGTCGCATCGTTGAGCTCGAAGGAGACGTCGCGAGCCTCAAAGCGCAGGTTAGGAAGGCACCAACTATGCACCAACACCGATCCTGGCCAGGATCACCCTGGGCCCAGGATCGGTGCATACGCACCCCTGCCTTGCGCAAGAAGGCATATGCACCGATCCTGGGCCCAGGGTGATCCTGGGCCAGGATCGGCGTTGGCGTGCAGTTGGTGCCCTCCGACAGGTGTCGCTTTTGATGGGGCGTTACTGCAGGGGCCACGTGTTGGGGGGGGAACAGCGCGTGAGATCGCTGAGTGGCCGTCTAGGCGCACCTCATGGCTGGGGGGCGACGGCGACAAGGAAGACGGAGGAGAGGAGGAGGAGGATGAGGGAGGGGGAGGAGGGGGGGGAGGAGGAGGAGGAATGGGGGTTGGAGGAGGGAAGGAGGAGAAGGAGGAAGAGGAGGAGGAGGAGACGCAGAGAAGTAATCCCCGGGGTTGCACGTGGCTGTAGTCTCACAGCTCCATTGCCGCCCATAGGAGGCCTTGTTCTCGAGCTGCGAAGCATTGACGGCTCGCCGCCATGCGGGGATCTGCAAAACAACGCGCCGCAGACTAGGAGGAGGAGAGGAGGAGGAGGAGGAGGAGGAGGAGGAGGAGGAGGAGGAGGAGGCCTGAATGAAGTGGAGGTGCTCGACGTCCGAAGCGCGGCGGGAAGGAGCCCCGGTCCCACTCCTCCTCCTCCCCCCCCTCCTCTTCCTCATCCTCCTCCTCATCATCATTCTCCTCCCCCTCCTCCTTCTCCTCCTCCTCCGCCTCCTTCCCCCCCTCCCCCTTCTCTTCCTCCTCCGCCCCCTCCTCCTCCTCCGCGGGCGAGCCCTGCAGGTGTATGCGCCCAGAGGGCTCCAGGAGGGCTCCTCCTCCTACTGTGCCGCGCGTTAGGCATGCACGGGGCATGCGCGGGGTGTGCACGGGGCATGCACGGGGGGCGCACGGGGCGGCTGTGGCATGCACGGGGCATGCACGGGGCATGCACGGGGTATGCACGGGGTATGCACGGGGCGGCTGTGGCATGCACGGGGCATGCACGGGGTATGCACGGGGTATGCACGGGGCTTGCGCGGCGTGCATACCTCCTCCCTCTCCCTCTTCCTCCTTCTCCCCCTCCCCCTCCTCCTCCTCCTCCTTCTCATCCTTCTCCCCCTCCTCCTCCCTGTCCTCCTGCTCCTCCTCCTCCTCCTCCTCCTCCTCCTCCTTCTCCTCCTCCTCCTCCTCCTCCTCCTGCTCGCCCTCGTCCTCCTTCTCCTCGTCCTCCCCGGAATCCGCAGCCTCCTCCTCCTCTTCCTCCTCTTCCTCCCGAGCAAATTTCTCCTCCCCCTTCTCCTCCTTCTCCTCCTCCTCCTCTTCTTCCTCCTCTCTTCCTCCTCCTGCTCCTGCTCCTGCTACTCCGTTTTCCTCCTCCATTTCCTCCCCCATCCTCCTCCTTCCTCCTCCTCCCCTTCCTCCTCTCCTCCCCTTCCTCCTCCTCCTCCCCTGCCTCCTCCTCCCCTCCCCCCTCCTTGACTGTCGGCTCCGTGGAATATACCTCCAGGACCTGCAGGGGCCTCCGAGCTCGAGCGCGGGGGGATCGCAGGCAAGAGGCACGGCCGCTCCTCCTCCTCCTCCTCCTCCTCCTCCTCCTCCTCCTCCTCATCCTCCTCCTCTTCTTCCTCCTCCTCCTCCTCCTCCCCCTGGCCCCCCTGGCCTGGCCCCCCGTTCCGGGTCTCCCCGAGGATGTGCCAGTCTTTCGTTTTTGGGATACTTCGGTTTCTATTCCCCTCCTCCTCCTCCTCCTCCTCCTCCTCCTCCTCCTCCTCCTCCTCCCTTATTCGCGTGGAAATTTAAGAGCCGCAATTTTTGCAAGTTTGAAAATGTTGGGGTGGCCTCCTCCTCCTCCTCCTCCTCGCCCTAACCCTCCTCCTCCTCCTCCTCCTCCTCCTCCTCCTCCCCCTCTTCCTCCTCCTCCTCTTCCTCCTCCCCCCCCCTCCTTCTCCTCCTCCTCCTCCTCCCAGAGACACGAGCCGGGCGAGAGCAGATGGCGGCGATGATGTCGATGACGGTGTCGTGTTTTTGTCTTGGGGCGAGCCCCCGCGAATGCCCCGGTGCTTCGCGGGGAGGTGCGCTAGCAATGCGACAGCCTGGGGCGACGCCCACAGAAAGCAACAGCAACGCGGCGCAGACGCAGGAATTACTCTCGCCGTCCGCGCGGCAGCACACTGATGTCGCGTTGCAACACATGATGAATGCTCACGCCTCCTCATCGGCAGCAAACTGGTGTCGCTGTGCAACACGTGAATGCTCACGCCTCCTCATCCCAGCTCTCGTCGATGGCAGCCTTGACGCGGCCCCCTGCGTCCTTCGCCGCGGCCAAGAAGTCCTTGGCCTGCGAAAAGCACTCCAGCAGCTTCTTTTTGCTCTCCGCCGTTCCCTTCGTCTGGATCGCCGTGAGGGCCTCCAAGAGCTGATTGCCAGTGCCCACCGTTCTGGCCCCGAACTCCTCCAGCTTCTTGGAGAGGGACTCCTTGTTCTCAGGGCGGTCCGCCTCCGCCATCGTCCCAGTGATGGCCAGCTGCGCCTCCGTCACCTTGCTAAGGGTGGCGTCCAGGCGCTTCTTGTGCCCCCCCTGCACAGTGAACTCCCTTGGGTCAGCTCCGCCGCCATCCTCAGCGGCGCCCTCGGTGTTCTCCTTCTTCCCATTATTCTTCTGGCGCTTCACCTTCCGATCCTCGTACTGCTCGAGCTGCCTCTTGCGCTCCTCCTGGAGCACCTGCTCCATCGTGATGGTCATTGAATACTTCGGGTTCCACGCGAGCTTCTTCTTGTCGTGGATCGGGTGGTCGATCACGGTGCCCTTCTGGCACAACTCCTCGAACTCTGTTTTGTCCATCTTGGATTTCAGATCATCGTAATCCTCGAAGTTGCCCTCTGCCTGCATCTTGCTCGTGAGCTTTTCCAGGGCGGACTTCGCGATGGCTGTCGTGAGCTGCGTCTGCAGCTCTGCGTTGAAGAGCCCAGCGCTGTTTGCGAAGAATTCTTCGCGACCTTGAACGGAGAGGCTCGCCCACCCAGCCCGCGATTCCCCATCGCGTGCTTTCAGTCTGTCCACGCGGCCCCGCAGGCTGTTGCAGCCCCGACAGCGGCACTGCTTGCCCCAATCGCCGTTTGCCGCTTGCGCGAGCAGCAGACCTTCAGGGCCGCGTTCTCGCGCTTCTCCGCGGGGGTGGCAGCAGCAGGAACCCCTTCGGCCTGCGCCGCGGCTGCGGCCGCTGCGGCTCCTGGAGCGCCCTCGGCGACAGGAGGGCCCCGGGCAGCAGGAGCGCCCTCGGCGACAGGTTGCGGCTCGCAGGCAGCAGGGGCGCCCAGGGCAGCATGGGCGCCCCGGGCAGTAGGAGCGCCCCGGGCAGCAGGAGGGCTGGTAGGAAACGACATACCAAGCAAACAAAAGAAGCTACAATCGGCGAGCCGCGAAGCAGCTGCGGGTGGCAACCATCAAGCGTGGCCCCACGAACAACGCCACAGGAACGAGGGCGCTCTTCTTGTGGTGGGTGGTGGGTGGTGGGTGGGCGGTGGGTGGGTGGTGGGTGGGCGGTGGGCGGGTGGCGGGCGGGGGGCGAGTCGCGGGTGGGCGGGCGGCGGGCGGCGGGCGGGCGGCGGGTTGAGAAAGAAGAGGAGGAGGAGGGGGAGGGGGAGGAGGAAGACGGGGAGGAGGAGGAGGAGGAGGAGGAGGAGGAGGGGCGGCCATTTTGTAATAGAGACCCCTGCCATTACAAAACGGGCGGTGGGTGGGTGGCGGGCGCAGGAGGAGGTGGGGGACATTCTATAAAATGCAGAAGGAGGAGGGCCATCGCACTGCTTTGAGATAAGTTCGCTGCTGACGCTGAATGGGCTTTATAAAGGGCCCTGCCATCAACTCCTCCTCCGCTGAAGGCGGCGCGAACGCCCAGACTGCTATGACTGCTACGCTATGACTGCCATGCTACGCTGTTACTGCTATGATATGTTATGAGGTACCAATATTGCCATGTCAGATTGCTGTTATGCTATGACATGTCAGATTTCATGAGTGTCAGAGTACTACTATGATATGGCATGTCAGATTACTGCTATGCTATGCTATGCTTTGCTATGACAATGCCATTCGAGCTCAGCTGAGTGCCTCTCCTCGAGGTTGCGGCGTCTGCTGCGGCGAGCCGTCAACAATCGCCCCAACCATTCTCCAAAACGTTCGAGAAAGGGGTCACTGTTTTAACGCGGCGACACAGCGCGATTTGCGCCCACAGCGCATGCGATTCGATTGCGGCGAGCCGTCTAAAGGTGAAAATGCGAGCGCCGCTCACTCGGTCGGCGTCAGATCAACCTCCGTGGGAGAACCAATCTCCGTGGGAGAACTGTGATCTGGCGGCTGGCTGCGGGGCGTCATGTGCGCATCCTGCTGCAGGACCGTCGGCTCCTGCGCGGGATGTCACGAGCCCCCCCCCACCACTTTGTTCGGGCTGAGGGTTCGAGAGGGCCTCCAGTGGCTCGAAGATCCCCCGACGGCATCGGCTTGGAAGCATATTCAGGCATCCTCATCCCTGGATGTTGCAGGGGGCAACCGTCGTCGTCGTCGTCGTCGCCCTCGATCTTACAGTCGCCACCCTCGCCGTCTCAAGTGGTCGGCTCGCCGCCTCTCGCACTTCCGCCGCCCCCGGGGGCCTCATGAGGGGGCGAGGGTGCCTCGCGGGGCGGGGGGATGGGAGCCTGAAGAGGGGGCCTCGTCAGGGGACGCCTGGGGGCCTCATGGGGGGGCGACCTAGGGGGCCTCGCGAGGCCCCGTCGTCCCCTCATGGGGCCCCCATCCCCCCGCCCCGCGGGGCGGGGGGATTTGTTTCGCTTGAGTCCTCTGCGCACGGTTCTGCTTGCTGATCGGCTGCTTGCTCTCCCAGCGCTCTCAGCACCGCGTCCGCGATGTCCTTGCCAGCTCCTGCAGGATCTGCTTGGGCTGCGCCGCCAGTTGAAGGTGAAGCTGCGGTAGGTTGCTGTCTTCTTTGGGCTTCAATGGCAGCGACCTGCGCGCGCACCCACCCAATGGGTCTCGGCAACGGAAGTTTCTCACGCGTCGAAGCCCAGGGTCGGGTGTTGAGAGGGTTGCTGTCGTCCATGGTTGGAGACGCTCTCCAATGTGCCATCAGCTGCGCCCACTTCGCGCACTCCAAGTTCGTCTGGTGAATCATCTCCCACTGCCTGATGTGCTGGGAGTTCTGATGATGGAGCTGCTGCGCCTGATGCGCTGCTGCAGGGTCCGTCGCTGCTGCTGTTGCTGCTGCTGCGAAGTATTGCTCATGCTGCTGCTGCTGCTGCGGCTGCCCCTGCTGCTGCTGCGGCCCAGCTGGCCGCCAAGGCACTGGTGTTGCCCAGATGCTGCTGCGGCCCAGCTGTTCCTGCTGCTGCTGCGGCCCAGCTGTTTCTGCTGCTGCTGCTGCGGCCAAGCTGGTCGGCTGTTCCTGCTGCTGCTGCGGCCCAGCTGGCCGCCAAGGCACTGGTGTTGCCCAGATGCTGCTGCGGCCCAGCTGTTCCTGCTGCTGCTGCGGCCCAGCTGTTTCTGCTGCTGCTGCGGCCCAGCTGGTCGGCTGTTCCTGCTGCTGCTGCGGCCCAGCTGTTCCTGCCAATTGCTGGGGGGCGTGCCACTGCGCCCCGTGCCAGTCGTCTGTTTGCCAATCTTGCCACTCGGCAGACCACGCATGCGGCAACTCTGTGTCTTGCCACTCTGCACGTTGTTGCTCGCGCGGCTGCCCCTGGGATTCGCGCTGGTTGCCCGGGCGTCTGCCCCCGTCAAGGCCGTTCGCCTCAATCAGCTCTTTGGCGAGATTGTATGCTCGCGATTGCATGCTCTGTGGCCCCTTCAACGTGAAGAGTCTGCCACGCCCGTCGTGTCGGTCTCTAGTTGTTGCCGTGCACCCAGTTTCCTCCTTTTATTCTGATTCTGTCCTGGCTGGTCAGAGTCCCGCCAGACATCGGAAACTGAATATGGAAGCCAACATCGACAGCTTCGTGGGGTGGCAGGGTCACTGGGGAAGAAGCCATGCTTGACCAAAAACGACTATCGGAGGAGCCGTCATGCCCCCCACCCCCCAACCCCCTCCTTCCCTCACACCCCCTGCCCCACCCGTCGTTCGCAACCCCAACCCGCCCTTCTACTCCCATCCATCTTCTCTCCGACAGTCCCAACCTTCTCCCAGCTCAAAGTGGGGGCGCGGATTTCCATGCCTATGCGCAACTGTCAGAGAGAAGGGGCATTTGCGAGGAGGAGGATGAAGGAGAATAAGACGAGGCAGAGGGGGTCGGAGTGGCGAGCAATCACCAACACGAACAACACATGCTGAGTACGATAAGGGCGACGAGGGGTGGCGAGCCAACCCCCAATCGCAGTGGCAAGGATGCGTGCCGAGGGAGCCGACGATGATGATCATGAGGATGTGGATGGCAGATGGTGTTGATGTGACGTTTGGTTTTGCTTCGGCACCTGGATCAAACCCTTCGAAAACGCTCATGCGATGTTCAAGCCTGGGAGTTGCGGCACAATCGGCTTGACCCCGTCGCGGTATCTGGCGACGGGGATGGCCCGCGCCACCTGGCGCGTCGCACTGCAAAATTTCTCGGTGGCACTCGGGGTCCAGAGGCCGCCCGGGCCCGATAATAGTGGCACCCACATAACACAATGCAAATATCGGTTCGATAACGTCGGGCGCCCACAAACGAAATTATAAATTTTCCCCAGCCGATGTCCGAGAGTTGTTGAAACCAGTATATGCATGTTCTGGCGCAGTTCCCCAATTTCAGTCACCATCTTAGTTGATGATTGGACCGATCCCAAACTGTCAGTGATGCCGTGCGCCTGCTGTATCAACAGCACAGAATGGTTATCGTGAGCCACCTGGCCTGCTAACCATTCAGGCCTAAGTCCACCGTCGAAGCGCGAAAGGATGTCCAACACTTGTCGTTTCACAACCTGGTATTCCCAATGTTCGCCAGACGTGCGTCGCCCGATGACCTTCGCATACTTGTGTTTGCGTTCGGTGGAAAAGCAAGACAGGACGTCGCCGACGTCATCGATATTGCGGGGAATATGGTGTCCATAGTGCAGCTTCGGCTTCACATACGATGCACCATGCAGATCTTTGGTGAGTTTATGGTGCTCAGTCAAGGTAGCCTCCATGTCTCTAGTGTTACTGATAGCGCACGCGGGGGTCGATAGCATATCCAATATTTTGGAAATCAAGCGCAAACAACGCACCTCCTCCAGCAGCGTCCCGCTCGGAACTAACACCGGCTCGGAGAATTTCACCAGCGCGTGAACGGCGAAGATAGTCTCGCCTGCCCATGCTTTCAGACACTCCCCATTGCGCTGAACGCGACCATGAAAAAATCCTTCGGCAGCGACCCACTCGGCCACAAAATCGATTGCTGGAATACGTCCAACGAGCCCAAATCTACGCAATGCGGCTCCGATAGGAGCTTCACGCAGAAAGCGTTGGCCTCAAGTTGGCACGCTCCTCCTGATGCCACCAAACAGCGCATCCAATCCCAGTAGGTGTGTTTCACTGGGTTTAGCCATTTCCTGAGAAGGGGGTCATACAACATCGAATCCTCGTTGAAATTCACACCGCAAACTTTCTCTTTCTCAGCGGCCCGGGGCCAGCAGCGGCTTCGCTCTCTTGAGTTCATCGACCATGTGTTCGAATGAACCTGGCGTGTGCAAAACGAAATCTGATGGCACAGCGTCCTGGAGATGCTTGTCATATTCAGATCCTTATATTTTATACCCCGGCGTCCGAACCACGTTCCTGCAGCAGATGCAAGCCTTGAATCCGCTTGCACCTTTAACAGACCAAAAGTTTTTGTGCGCCTCCTCATCTTACACCACGCAAGAGAATCTTCCTTTGTATTATGTGCGCCCACCGCGGCTGCTGGGGAGCAAGATCCCCGTCTCAAGGTTGCAAGTTTTTTGGTTGAAGAAAGTGCGTGTCAGAAGTTGTTTCGCGAGGCCGCTGAGTCCAGCCGACACTTTCTCCTGGCGTTCAAAAGGGAAGAAACACAATGCCCACCAACCCTCGTCGCGACATCTCACCCACCTCGGGAGCTCTCTGATGGTCCAGTCCGCGGCCCTGGAATCAAGGCGGCCGTGGGTTCGCAGCGTGTGAGTTGGCGATGCTTCTCTGTGGTGTTTTTGAGTTTCCTCCAGGGGGCGGGGCATCGTCGTCGGGTTTCGCAGCGGCGCGTAAATAGACAGCTTGAAGCTCATTCGCCTGGTCGGGATTGAGCGGGCTGGCAGCTTGCAGCTTGTCAGTGTAGAAAACTATTGAAATTGTTCCGTTGCAACATCTCTCAAGCATATCTGAAAACAGAATACCCCCTGAACCTCCATTTGCGTTGTCGCACAAACAATAAAGCAACGCCAACGGGTTGCAGCATAACGTTGGGTAGCGCTCTCCTTCGGCAAGGTCAATATCGATAACGGGCAAAAGTTGGCCGAATGGCGTGTGCAAGTTCAGCTCTTGATTCAATACTCTGCGCATGTCCTGTTCGGAGCCATCCACTCCACATTCTCTGGCTATTTGTTGCAATTTCAATGACAAGGTAGGCGCAACTTGCGAAAACATGAGCCTGCGTTTCTTTGAAGAATCGTCGACAACCATGTTTGGGTAACGGCGTGCTGAAATCGCGGCGAGTACGGCATCGGTGGCGGTGGCGAGCCAAAGGTGTGCGTGAAAACCAGCAGTGGCGAGCCAACCGCTTGAGCGAAACGATGCGGAAGAAGTGGAGGTGGGGTTCCTGCCTGTGCGCCCCTCACTCGGACCGTACCCTCGCAGGATCTTTGCCGATGTATAGTTTGCAAAAAACGGCGCCGATTTTTTTTTTTTTGAAATGTCATTTTGATTTTCGATTTGACTTAGCTTTCACTTAGCTTTCACTTAGCTTTGACATATATGTGACTTATATATTGAATGTGTATATATATATATATATCAAATGTGAATCAGTTATCAAACTGACATTAAATCGTTCGTGTTTCAATTCAAGATAAGTCGATTGCATTTGAATGTAAGCCAATGTATAAGTAGCTAAGTCGAACCGCTCAGCGAAGTGGTCTCGTGCCCCTTTTACGCCAGCGACCGCCGAGACTTGTTCCCAGGCGACGTCCCACCCGACCTGATACTCCAGCTGCTGTTCGGGGACCACACCAGCCCCAGCAGCTTCATCGAGCATATTTCTTTTGTCGGGAAGGTCATTCGGCGTTCTGCGCCTCTGTCTTCTTCCTCGTCTTCCTCCTCTTCCTCCTCTTCCTCTCCTCCTCCTCCTCGTCCCCCTCCCTATTGAATGTTAGTCTTGCAGATTTGCCCTTTGAGGCGGGGTTCGCACGTGTACCTCTTAATGTGATGGCCTTCGGGCGCCTCGGCATGCGGACGTTGTCACGCTCGTGGCGCGCAGGCGGCATCGTCATGATTTTGATTGCTATCCTCTTGCGTCCCAGTCGCTGTGTTTTTTGCCCTCCCCTCTTCTTCCTCCTCGTCTCTCGCCTCCTCTGAGCACTTGCTTCTCGGGTATTTGTATACTTGCCCCTTTTCCCGAGTGTGACTGTGGTTGGGTATGCCCGTCGCCTCCCCCGCCGCTGTGTCGCTTTACCAGGCTGTGCTTGGGGGAGCGGTGCTGTGCCTCGGGGTGTGGAGGGGGGGATGCACTGACGAGCCCTTGACCGCAGCTAGTGTAACCTAGACGCGGCCCGGAACCCTGCCGTGCGGCGCTGCCCGGTTCTCCGGGGAGAGCGGCGGTTTTCGGGCGGCGTCCTCCCGCCGCGCTCGCCTCATTCATGTTGTGCCAGCAGGGGAGGGAAGGGGTGTGTAACACCACCGCCTATCCGTCGTCGGCTGCCGGGCCCAGATCTGCATTCGCCGGGCAGTTCTGAGTCGCAGCGACTGGGGGCCGGGCGCTGGCGCCAGCGGCCGGGCGCCGGCGCGCGCACCCCAGACGCTGTCGAGATGCGAAATGCGAAAAAATGCGAAAGGAGGGGAGGGGGACAAAGATGAGGAAACATTCGGATCCAGAAAAGTGGCCTACGCTGGAGCGAAAACACGAGTCTGAAAGGAAACAAAGCGCCGCTCCTGAATTCAGGGCTACGCTGCATCGGGAGTGCCAGCTTAGAGGGACCTAGCAAGTCCAGACTGAAAAAACACTTGTTAGCCAACGTGGACCCAAAGGTCAGTCATTGCACTGGGGAGTGACAGCTATGCGGTGCACGCTAGATGGTGTGGGCCACAAGTTAGGCTATGCGGTGAACACTATATTGTGTAAGCTATGCGACGCGACGTCTGTCGTCTGAGCTATGCGGTGTAAGCCATGTTGTGTAAGCGGCAAAGGTAAGCTATGCGACGTGACGTCTGTCGTCAAAGCTATGCTGTGTAAGCGCCAAAGGGCGGGCACCCGGCGAAACCTCGGCGTACCCCACCAGCTCGAGAAGCCCACGAGGCGCCCGCGGGCGGGCGCCAGGCAAAACCTCGGCGCCCCCCCCCCAGCGCGGGGCGCCCACGAGCGCCCACACATCGCCCAAGGGCGGGCACCAGACCAAACTCGCTGCGTATCCGACGCGCGCCCACGAGTCGCCCACGGGCGGGCGCCAGGCAAAACCTCGGCGTACCCCCCAAGCGCGGGGCGCCCACGAGCGCCCACGGGGCGCCCACGTGCGGGCAACATACGAAATCTCGGCGTACCCCCGCAGCGCCCGCCGGACGCCCACGAGCGCCTACGAGGCGCCCACGGGCGGGTGACAGGCGAAACCTCGGCGCACCCATCCAGTTCCTCAGGCAAACAAACAAAGAACCCCTACGTACAATCAGTCTTGAACGTCGAGACACGCAATCCCACCTTTGCATTCAGACCCCTCCTGGTGTGGGCGGGAAAGCTTGCAGAGCCAACCAGCTACCGCGGTGCATTGCTTCTTCGGGACCACAGCGGTTGATTGATAGTGTCTGCGACGCCAGGATGGACCCATCCTTCAGAGGCACACCACCTCACTTGATGGGATACTCTTTCCTAGCGCAGATCAAGATGCGCGAAACATGCTACCTCATTCCAGAATCAGCTGGCAAGTATGGCCCAGGAGAGCCAACGCCGATCTGGCGATCCTAGCGGGAACCCGCGTGGCGCCACACTGGGGAATGAATTGTCCGAACCACTCGGATGCGGCCCCCCGCGCTCTTCGGGATTCTTTCGGATTCTTCGGACCGAAGCGACCTGGCCAAGCCAGCAACCTGCGGCCGAGCCAAATTCAACGAACTGGGCCGATTCGGTAAAAAACCGGCCGACCCAGACAGTCCGAACCAGACCGAATGAACCGACCCGATGGCATGCCGAAGCGGACCGAATCGAACAGAACCAAGGCCACCCTGCCTGCTGGAACGAAGCCAAACCGGCATCGAATCGGTTCGAATCAGCACCCGGGAGAATCGAATCGAATGGAGTCGGGGGAGTCGGAATGATCCCTGCAAGGGCGGCGCCGGAGGCACGCTCCGCGAAGCAGGGAGGGGGGTCCAGCGCCGATCCAAGCAATCAGCGCGGACCTCGATGTTAAGACATTCGGTCATGCGTTTACTGCGTTTAGGGCAGCGTGGCATCGACGCGCAGCCCGCGTACCGTGGAGCCGAGTGGAGAGGACAATCAGGTGGCGAAGGAGGTAGGACGAGGAGGAGCAACGGGGGCGTCCAAGAGGGGGGGCGCAAATCATCCCGATGCATGTGCGCGGGCGAGGAAGGAGGGTCAGGGGGACGGTTGAAAGAAGAGGAGCCACCATGAAATCTGCGGAGATATCATGGCCCTGGCCATGATGCCGCCTCCAATTATCACCCCCTCTTGGCCGCCCCTGGGAGGAGGAGGAGCCCGCCTCTCATGCTGGGCGCATCCCTGGCGGCATGCACCCTCGGCGCGCGCTGGCAGGACCGAAACGCCGTGGAACGCCCGTGCCACGACGGGTCTGGCAGGTCACTCTCGTGACTCTCTGAACCTTGTGGCTGATCCTCGAAACCTCTTTAGTCTCAACATTTTCTCTGTCCTCCCCCTCGTCGGCCACCATGCCCTCCTGCCTCCTCCTCGTCTTCCTGCTCCTTCCAACCATGGCCAGCTCATGCTCCTCGTCCCAGTTCTGGCCCCTTCGCACAGCATCCACACAGACCTGCACACAACTCATCAATGCTGATACTTGGCCTCCCAGCGCGGAGCCTCCTCCGTGTCTAGACCCCCACCCCCCCCCTGCTCCCACGCTTCCACATCCTCCTCGTCATTGTACAGCCTTTCTTCCCGTCTCGGCCTCAGATCTTTCTCACACCGCCGCTGCGGGTTCACCATCGTCGTCGCCGCCGCTGCTCATGCTGCCCACCCTCCTCACTCAAGCAACAACAACAACAACAACAACAACAACAACAGCAACACCAAAAACGACGACGACGACGACGACGACAACAACAACAACAGCAACAACGCGAAAGAAATCAAATACTCGTCCTCATCATCCTCCTGCAATGTCTGCGCATTGCTTGCAGATGTTGTTTTTGTTGCACTTCTTCATATGTTTCCCATCCCGATTACTAGTGTTATTAGTATTATTCATATCAGAAAATATTATGAGTATTAATACTACTACTCTTACTCTTACTACTGGTATGGTTGTTGATATGATTAATCGTATTGCTAAGCTTACTTGTATTCGTACTATGTTTACAACTATTGGTAATAGCATGATATTCGTACAACAATAACAAGCGTGATTATCACTACTACTACTACTACTACTACTACTACTACGACTACTACTACTACTACTATTACTACTACTACTACTACTACTACTACTACTACTACTACTACTACTACTACTACTACTACCACTACTACGACTACGACTACGACTACGACTACGACTACTGCTACTACTGCTACTACTACTACTACTACTACTGCTACTACTACTACTACTACGACGACGACGACTACTACTACTACTGGCACTATTCTATTTATCATTCATACTATTCCCGTCCCTGCCTGCTGACCCTCCTCGCACCGCCACTGCCGAATGAGACGACGACTGCAGGCGACCAGGGCGGTGCGCGCCCCGGAGGTCCACGTGGCCAGCAGCGCCAGAAGCCGCCGCCGCTCCAGCTCGAAGGCGCTGCCCTCTCCAGCGGCGGGAAAAAGGGGGGTCTTTGTCCATGGAGTGGAAAAAACGGGGACCAGCGTCGTGTCGCGCCGCCCCCATGAAGGGGGAAAAAAGGGCGGAAACGTAGAGTCAATATTGGTCAGCGTCAATTCGCGGATCATCTCGCGAATCGGCACGGCCGACACGGACCATGACCCAGACTGGCATCGACAACATCCGGCGACAGATTGATAATGGTCCCCGTGTTTCTCCCCTCGATTCCAGGAGGGGCAACGATATGGGGGAACTGGCACAGGAGGGGGGGAAACAGCGACCTGGAATCGGCAAAACATCGCCGACTGATCGGCGATAGACCCCCGATAGCGAAACCACGCGTTCCTAGGCCTATTCTCCCGCAACCGTTGCCCCTGATATCTAGGAGGGGAGGGACACAAGGGGACGGGGGGGGGGTCCCAGGAATGGGAGGGGGCTCCAGGCTGCCCACTGTGACGGCACAGCCAACAGCCGACCGTACCGAGAGCGAAACCAAAAAGCGAACGACACCGACAAAACGCAATCCGCCCAGAAGGGCACGGCGACACAGCAACGACCCAAACAACCAACCGAAACAAACCGACCGAACGCAACCGACAAAGATGCAGCCGGACCGACCGAACCGCGAACACCCTTGGGACCCCAGGGCAGGGATGAGGTAGGGGGGGCAGCCCAAGAGGAGGGGAGGATCATTAACTAAACTGCCAGGTCTGTGATCGGGCCGCCTTTGAACAGTCACTGTGCCAGGTCGGTGATCGGGCCACCCGTCGAATGGGGAAGCCCCGACACTCAGCCTTTTGCTGCTGGTTGCTGGCGAGGGCGCGCCCTGGCTAGCAACCCGCACTAGAACTGTGAGCGGCGCATGGCGATCCTTCACTCGCACTCGTCGCCGTCGTCGCTCTGGCGCGGCACCACCTGGAACGGCCGACCTGCCCTCGTCAGAGCTGCGCCCAGGTGGCGGGGAGCGAGAGGAGGGAGGAGAGGGAGGGAGCAGAGGGAGGGAAGGAGAGGAGGGAGGGAAGGGAGGGGAACGGGCGGGGGCAGGAGACTTCAGAGGGGGACGAGGAGGGCGCGGGGGGAAGAGGAAGGCGCGAAAGCGAGAGCCCTCACCTGGAGGCGCGATTTTCGCACATGCAGCTATGCCATGATGGCATGGGGGGATAACGCCGCCATAGCTATGGAGGGCCCGATGGAACATTGCCGAAGCAGGCGTGGCCCCACTTGTGCTTGGTGGACCCAAAGTAAGAATGGCCCCACACCACATACCCTCACTCCCGCTTGAAAGGATACCAGCCAGGCCTTCGATTAGAATGCAGAAGCGAACTTGGCACGTCAACTTTACAAGTTGACGCTGGCAAACGGTGCCGCCCAATCCTCGGATACCTCCGTCCCAGTCTAACAAATGCGGCGCTGCGAACGCCAGGACCCAAGCCGTGATTATTGATTAGGTCTGGACGACGAAGATGATGTGCCATCTGGCGACAGTGCAGATACACCATAGGCTAGGAAGCGGAGCAACGGTCGTGACGACGGGGAAGGCAGAGAAGAGTGGGATTGAGAAAGAAGAAATAGGTGCCCCCAACTACCCTATGGACTGCCCCGAGTCGCTTGTCAGCACTCCAGCCGTGTTTGTTGACTTGGTCTGGCCGACATAACAGACCGCAAGCTAGTTGGACATGCATTGCATAGCCTTAACCAACAGTCCTGGCAGGTGTGCCAGTGACGACGAGTGCCAAGTAGGCTAAGCAGCGAAACGAAGGGGGACCATGATGCCCGTTGCCATTGCCCCACCAGACTGGACCCCAAACATTGTTTACAAACTGCGCATGGCGGATGCCAGAACTCCAGCCGTGCTTGTTGAGTCGGTCTGGCCATATGAGCGGACCGCAGACTGGCTGGGCATGCAGTGCATAGCCGTAGCCCACAGCCCTGGCAGAGTTCCAAAGACAATGGCGCTGCAGGTGATGATCATGCGTGCCACCTGGTGGCTAGGCAGAAGTGCGGCTGGAACCCCACTCCGCAGTGCCCCACTGTTCGGCTGCCCGCGCTGGCAGCAGTGCGTACCCACGAAAGGGGAAACGCAGAGTCAGCGGAGCGGGCCTCCTGGGGGCTGGGCGGTCCATCCACGGAGGGGGCGGGGGCTCGAGGGGAGAGACGGATCCGAGGGGGGCGAGGGGGACACTCCAGGAGGCGGGGCGGGGGGGCACCCAGGAGAGAGGGAGGACGGAGCGCGAAGGAAAAGAGGCTCGCCCAGAATGGGGCCAGAGCCCAAATCAAGTCGTCGACAAAATGCCGAAGACGCCAGAAACATCTGCGCAGCGCTGGACCGTGCCACCGAAACCGAGTCGGGGCGGCCGAGCGAGAAAGCCAGCAGGCATGGCATGGCCCCAAAGGGCTGCCTGTGCGGCGCTACGTTGCGCAGAGCGCACGGCTTCCCAGGCACCACCAGCCAAGCGGCGGGGACTCACCAAGCACGGGGGAGAATCGGGGGGGAAAGGGGGAACTCTCCCCAGGTATGAGGGCTGGGGCTCAGTAGGCTCTGCCAGCGAGGCTCCAGTCTGCTGCACAGGAGTCTGCCGGCCGCGACGGGCGTACATCTGGGACCGCTCGCCTAGTCCAAAGAGCCAACACTGCCAGCACTCGTGCTGGAAACTGTTAAGCATGTGCTGCTCGCTTCTCGAAGTGCTGTGAACTGGCGACAATTCTTTTCGTAGAGGTTAACGACAGCCAAGTGGTCCGAGTACTGGAGGGACGGCGAGTGGCAAGGAGACGATGGGAGATGCTAGGGGGGATGGGCATTGAAGAGGAGGACCCTGCAGGCATCAACCCTGGATTCCGCTCTGCTCCGCTCACTCTCTGGGCCCCCTCATCTCAATCCCTCCCCCCACCCCTGCGTCCCTCTCCCCCTCACCGTCTCTCGTCCGCTGCCCCCCCACCCCTTCATCTTCCCAACCTTGCCTCCCTCCCCATCCCCCCCTCCCCCTTCCCCCGCCTGGACCCCGCACCCTCCCGAAAGAGCGAGGACACCCGAGCCTCGGGCAGCCGCGGCGCGGGCGGTGGCGGGAGCGCCAGCGTGGGCACGCCTGAGCGGGAGGCGCGGGGAAACGGCGGCCTCGAGTCTGGCGGCACGTGGACCAGGACGAAGCCGGGCGGGGGGCAACATCGGCTCGGGATGAATCGGGATGAATCGGGGATCGCCGAGATCCGTCGTTCTGGGAGACATATCGGGCCCCGCGGCCTTCTCAGAGCGTTCCGCAACGCCCTGAGAGCATTCAGCAGTTGCCATGTGGCGACGCACAGCAAGGTCACGCCCACTGGCGTTCCCAAAGAAAAAACATGCTGTAATTTGCATACGCATCTGCAACTGCACAGGAAAAAAGCTTGATGGCACATTGGAAGATCAATGTCAGCTCCTCAGCAAGGAATCAGCCTAGGCCCGGTCCAACATACCTCGCTGGCGACACGCAGCCATTCGTTGCGGCTTCGAATGCTGGCTGGAACCGCATCACATGACTGCTCCAACCACTTGGCCGGATGAAAACAGCTCGACGAAGTAATTGACGCGACGAAATGTCCAACGTCAAATTGCAGGTCAATCGTTAGACACGTTTCACCGGAAATTCACGCAGGAATCGAGACGCAAGCACCCTGTGCAAGCTCTGCCATATGTCGAGATGCGTGGTTCGAAGAACGCCTGACCACGAGCTCTCGTTCGCGTCGGAACTTCCGAAGAAGAGCGCAGATAGCCCATAGATGCTCGCGTTTTTCTGCGAGATGTTTAAATGGAACGTGCACTGGCGTCGCGAAGGGATAGTTGATGAGCTTGGATGGGAAACGTTGCAGTGAGGCTGTAATAGCCTTCATTGTCACTCGCGGTCATCATGCGTCACGACAGTGCTGCAGAGTAATGCGGGGAATCTCGATGGGCCCACGCACCTTCTTCTCGGTCAGGGGAACCACCTATGAACGCGGACCCCAGACCAAACGGCAGCCATGAAATCGAGAACAGCCCGAGGTAAGACGGCTAGCCCCTGGTTTCCAACCTTCCATTCCTTCCCCTCCCTCCCCCCTCCCCTTCTCAATCCGCTTACAGTCGGACTTGATTGGACAGGACACGCGAGACGACACAAGACCCTTCCGAGGGCCACATTGCCATAGGAATGGAGGAGGCATGGGTCGCGAGATACAGGACACAAGGGTACCCTTGATTTGGCAGGATCGACCTACTACTGTACTTCTCACTCCTCGCCCCTCACGTCCCCCTCCCTTTCCATTCCTTCGCCCACAAGCCTCTCCGCCAGCAGACCTCGTGCATCTCGCACAATTCCTGGAAGACCTCTCGCGCCATGGCGCCGGTTCCTCGGGCGACGAGTTTGCGGCCGGGCGCTCACCGACCCTCGCACGGGAGGAAGATAATGGCGGGAGGAAGACGATGAAGTGGGCGAAGAGGAGAACCCCCACGGCACGCAGCCTAGAGACCTCCCGCAATGTCGCCCGCACGCACGTTCATGTGGATCCAGGTCGGAATAGAACAATTGATGCCAATGAAACAACGTATTTACGCCCTTGCCAGCTCTGATGTGGGACCATCGCCAACACACTGGAGATGGAAGGAGCAGAGATGGAGAGGGAGGAGGGAGGTAAAGGCTATTCGGGAGCTTCTCCTGGAGGATGTCCACTGGCCAGGGCGGAGCAGCAAGTGCAGTCCGGCCGCCACGCACAGGCAGAGTTGCCCTGGGATGTAGGCGGTGTACAAACCATCTTGACGCGTCAGCCCCGCAGGGTGACAGGAATGCGAGAGCAGCTACGCATGGGCAGAATAGCACCTCGCAGACCACACCGATCCCCAAGTGCAATGTGCTGAAGACGACTTCGACCCTACGCGCAGCCCACGCGTGCCATTCTCTAGCCTCCGGCAGCGAAACCCTTCCCGGCCCCGCCTAGGTCGTTGGTGCCCGCCATGATGATCGCGAGGTCGGGTGGCGCCTGGATTGGGCAGCTGCTGCCAAACGCCATCGCCATCTGAGCAGGACCTTCATTTGTTCGGGAGGGCGCTGTGAAGGGGAGATGTCGATAGCTTTGGAGGGGGCTCTGTCAGGTGAGTTTGGAGAGTGAACTCAAAACGGGATATCAACAGAGTTCTGGAACGCAGCCGTGATTCTATCATATGTGTACAAATACTGGGGGGGGGGCAACCGCAGTCATTATTTCAACCTAGACATATCCGACCTCGTGCCGCACGGAGTGGGCGTGTCCTCAGGTCCTAGGGGCACAGACTCTGAATTCACAGTTTTCCTTGGGCTTGCCGCGTGCCCCCGGGGCCTCGGGTCGTCTTTTCGCGCGACTGCTTCGGGCCAGAGGAAGGCGCCAAGACGGGCCAAGAGGACCTCAAGAGGCCCCCAAGACTGTCCAGGAGGGCCCCGAGTCGCCGAACGGTCGCTCTAAGACGCTCAGATGGCCCCACGACGACCTAAGAGGCTCCCAAGACGGCCCAAGAGGTCTACAAGTGGCCTGCCGAGAGCTTCCCAAGAGGCAACAATCATAGTTGCTTCATGTGTTTAACAACTTTTTGGCGTTCTCGCCTTTTCTGCTTTCCGACGCTCCCAGGCGGCCCAAGAGGCCTCCAAAAGGGCACCCAAACGGCCCATACAGGGCCCAAAGACGGCCCGAAAAGCGCCCAAGACGGCCGCAGAGGCCCCGAAGACGGCTCCTAGAGGGGGCCCAGATGGGGGACCCGAACGGACACTTCGAGCCCTCGGCCCCGGGGCGTCCCCAGGAGGCCCCCAAGAGCTCCCAAGAGGCCCCCAAGAGGCCCCAAGAGGCGCCCAACAGGCCCCCCAAAGGCCCTCACGAGGCCCCAAACCTGCCCCCAAGAGGCCCCCGAGAGCGCTCCGAAGAGACCTCAAGAGGCATCCCTGAGAACTCTGACCCGCAACCCAGGCACGGTGACGGGATGGGCACAACGTCCTTAGATCCGCCGCCCCCTGTGGTCTTGCAACAAGGGTGCCTGGCATGCTAGATCCTACTCGTGTGGTTGAAACAAATCCGGTTGCGCCGAGGACTGGTTCCGCCGCGACCGGTTCCGCCGAAGACCGCTTCCGCCGAAGACCTGTTCCGCCGATGGCCAGTTCCGCCGAAGACCTGTTCCGCCGATGGCCAGTTCCGCCGAAGACCGGTTCCGCTGGGACCGGTTCCGCCGAGGGCAAGTTCCGCCGAAACCCGGTTCCGCCGCGCGAGGTGTACCGCGGCCACGGCCTGAATGTTGGCCGCGGCGGAAGCGGACCGGGCGGAACAAGACCGCGCGGAACATGCAGGACCGCTGCGGAAGCGGACCAAGCAGAAGAAGACAAGACCGGGCGAAATCGGACGCGGCGGAAGAGGACTGGGCGAAACAGGCATTCGGCGGAACAGGCCCTCGGGGGAACATGCCCTCGGGAGAAGAGTAACCGTGCAAAGAGTAGTAGTAGTAGTAGTAGTAGTAGTAGCAGTAGTAGTAGTAGTACTAGTAGTAGTAGTAGTAATAGTAGTAGTAGTAGTAGTAGTAGTAGTAGTAGTAGCAGCAGCAGTAATAGTAGCAGTCGTCGTAGTAGTAGTAGTAGTAGTAGTAGTAATAGTAGTAGTAGTAGTAGTAGCAGCAGTAGTAGTAGTAGTAGTGGTAATAGTAGTAGTACTCGTAGTCGTAGTAGTAGTAATAGTAGTGGTAGTGGTAGTGGTAGTGGTAGTAGTAGTAGAAGTAATAATAGTAGTCGTAGAAATAGTAGTAGTAGTAGTAGTAGTAGTGGTACTTGTTGTAGTAGTCGTAGTAGGAGTAGTAGTAGTAGTAGTAGTAGAAGAAGAAGAAGTCGTAGTGGTAGTCGTAGAAGTAGTAGTAGTAGTAGTAGTAGCAATCATAATAGCAAATGTACAAATTATATTAATGGTAGTAGTAGTAGTAGTAGTAGTAGTCGTAGTAGTAGTACTGGTGGTAAATGTCGTAGTCGCTGTAGTCGTAGTGTTAGTAGAAATAGGAGTAGTAGTAATAGTAGTTGTAGTAGTGGTAGTCGTAGTCGTTGTAGTAGTGGCAGTAATATCAATAGTACTAGTAGAAGTAGGAGTGGCCGTAGTAGCAGTAGTAGTAGTAGTAGTAGTAGTCGTAGTAGTAGTAGTAGTAGTAGTAGTAATAGTAGTAGTGATCGTAATAATACTAATACCAGTAGTAGCACTAGTACTAATACTAGTGCTCGTCGTACTAGTCGTAGAAGAAGTAGTAATAATAATATGAGTAGTAGCAGCAGTAGTAGTAGTCGTAGTAGATACATGTGCAGTAACATTAGGATTAACATTGGCATCCGTATTCGCAGTAGTAGTAATAGTAGTAGTGGTCGTAGCAGTAGTCGTAGAAGTAGTGGTCGCAGGAGTCGTAGTAGAAGGAGCAGTAGTAGTGATAGTAAGGATAGTAGTAGTGATAGGAGTAATTGTAGCAGTAGTCGTAGAAGTAGTAGTAGTAATAAAAGTAGTAGTAGTCGTCGACGTCGTAGTCGTAGTAGTAGTAGTAGTAGTAGCAGTAGTAGTAGTAGCAGTCGTAATTATAATGATAGTAGTAGTGGTAGTGGTAGTAGTGGTAGTAGTGGTAGTAGTAGTAGTAGTACTCGAACCATTAGTAAAAGAAATAATGATTGCAGCAGCAGCAGTGGTAGTAGTAGTAGTAGTAGTAGTAGTAGTAGTAGCGGTAGTAGTAATAGAAGTAGTAGTAGTAGTAGTAGTAGTAGCGGTAGTAGTAGTAGTAGTAGTAGTAGTAGTAGTAGTGGTAGTAGTAGTAGTTGTAGTAGCAGTAGTAGTAGTAGTAGTGGTGCAACAAATAGTAGTAGGCGTAGCAGTCGTAGTACGAAGTAGTACTAGTCGTAGTCGCCGTAGTAGTAGTAGTAATAGTAGAGGTACTCGTAGAAGTGATGGTAGTGGTAGCCGTAGTCGTAGTAGTCGTAGTGGTTGTGGCAGTGGTAGTAGTATCGATAGTAGTAGTAGTAGTAGTACTAGTAGTGTTCGTCGTAGTAATAGTAAAAGTAGTAGGAGTAGCAGTAGTAGCCGTAGTAGTAGTAGTAGTAGTAGTAGTACCAGTAGCAGTAGCAGTACTAGTAGCAGCGGCAGTAGCATTCGTAGTATGTTGGTTATTCTTAATAGTAGTAGTACTGGCATAGTACTAGTAGTAGCAGCAGAAGTAGTACTAGTAGTAGTCATAGTAGTAGTAGTAGTAGTAGTAGTAGTAGTAGGAGCAGCAGTAGTAGTAGTAGTAGTAGTAATGGTGGTAGTAGTAGTAGTAGTAGTAACAGTGGGAGTAGTAGTAGTAGTAGTAGTAGTAGTAGTAGTAGTCGTAGTAGTAGTAGTCGTAAAAGTAGTAATAGTCGTAGTGGTAGTAATCTTGGTAATAGTAGTAGTCGTAGTAGTGATAGTAGTAGTAGTAGAAGTAGTAGTAGTAATATTAGTAGTGGTAGTAGTAATACTAGTAGTAATAGCAATAGTAATGTTAGTAGTAGTAGTCGTAGTAGAAGTAGTAGTAGTAGTAGTAGTAGTAGTACTAGTACTAGTACTAGTATTAGTAGTCGTAGAAGTAGTAGTCGGAGGTGAGGGGGTGAGATCGAAGTGGAACGGAGAGCCCCCCTACGGGGAAATCGATTTCGGTTTCGTGTTCGTGCGTGCCGTGCGCGCGGGCGAGGCGAAGCTGCGTGGGCGGGCGAGAAAAAGTCTCCTGTGGCTGAGGCGCGGCCGGACCAAATGTCTCCCTTCCGGGCGGCCGGTGGCCCGCGGTGTCCCGCCGGTGTCCCGCTGGTGTCCCGTGTGGCTGAGGCGCGGCCGGACCAAATGACTCCCTTCCGGGCGGCCGGTGGCCCGCGGTGTCCCGCCGGTGTCCCGCGGTGTCCCGCGGTGTCCCGCGGTGCCCCGCGGTGTCCCGCCGGTGTCCCGCGGTGTCCCGCGATGATGATGATGATGATGATGATGATGATGATGATGATGATGAGATGATGATGATGATGCTGATGATGATGATGATGATGATGGTGATGCTGATGATGATGCTGCTGGTGATGATGATGTTGACGATGATGATGATGCTGATGCTGCTGATGATGATGATGACGATGATAATGATATGATGATGGTGTCCCGATGATGATGATGATGATGATGATGATGATGATGATGATGATGATGATCATGATGTCGATGATGATGATGATGACGATGATGATGATGTTGATGGTGTCCCGATGATGAGGATGATGATGATCATGATGATTATGTTGATGATCATGATGATGACGATGACGGTGTCCCGATGATGACGAGTATGATGATTCTGATGATTATGATGACGATGACAATTATGTTGATGTTGATGATGCTGATTATGATTGTGTCCCGATGATCATGATGTTGATGATGATGAGGTTGATGATGATTATGTCGTTCCGATGATGATGATTATTCTGATGGTGATGATGATGATGTTGATGATGATGGCGTCCCGATGGTGATGATGATGATGTTGATGCTGATGCTGGTAATGATGATGATGGTGCCCCGATGATGACGATGATGATGATGCTGATGATGTTGATGATGCTGATGATGATGATGTCGATGATGAGGATGAGATGATGATGGTGTCCCGATGATAATGATGATGATGATGATGATGATGATGATGATGATGATGATGATGATAAGGATGGTGATCATGATGGTGTTCCGATGATGATGCTGCTGCTGATGATGATGATGACGATGACTGTGTCCCGATGCTGCTGGTGATGATGATGTTGATGATGATGATTGTGATGATGGTGATGATGATGATGATGATGGTGTCCCGATGATGTTGATGACCGTGATGATGATGATGTTGGTGTTGATGATGAGGACGGTGTCCCGATTATGATGATGTTGATGTTGATGTTGTTGTTGATGATGATGATGATGATGATGATGATGACGTTGATTGTGAGAGCGGT